CCAACCAATCAATTAACCAATTAGCCAACCAACAAATCAGCCAACCAATCAACCAGCCAACCAATATCTTAAAGCAAGTGCCATAAAAGTGTCAATTGAGTATAAACGTCCAAATAAACGATAAAATTTGTTTGGAGATTATGCTGACGATGACGCTGCTATCGCTACTACTGCTGCTGCTGCTGATGTTCATGAAGCTGCTGCTGCTGCTACTCATGTTCATGATGATGATACAGATGGTAATAGTGGTGATGATTGTGAGTGAGAAGAAAGATGGTAACGACGATGATGACTGTGATAAGGGTAATTGGGGAGACGATGTAGATGATGTATCACGTTTGCGTTGATCAAAATCAACACCACCACCACCACCCACCATCATCATCACCATCATCATCACCACAAATATCATCACCATCATCATCACTACATCACCATCATGAACAATACATCTTTGTTAAAACTTATATTCTTATTTATCAGTTCCGAGCACCTGTTGTTCCGACAATAACAACAAAAATACTAACAACATATTATTATCATTATTATTACTAGTAGTTGTTGTAGTAGTATTAGTAGTAGTAGCAGTAGTAGTAGTATTGGGGGTAGTAGTAGTAGCAGTAGTAGTAGTAGTAGTAGTAGTAGTAGTAGTAGTAGTAGTAGTAGTAGTAGTAGTAGTAGTAGTAGTAGTAGTAGTAGTAGTAGTAGTAGTAGTAGTAGTTAATAGTAGTAGAATGAGTATTAGACGACGACTGTAATGATGATGATGAAGACGACGACGATGATGGTAGTGATTGTAAAGATGACGACGACGACGACGATGATGATGGCGGTGCTGATGATGATGTTGGTGTTGTTGTCCGGAGTTGATGGATTAAGACGCGGAAAACTTGGCGCTTATCCAAGCCACGTAACACTTGCTTTATTATTATTATTAATTATTTTATTATTATCATTATTAATTATTTTATTATTATTATTATTAATTATTTTATTATCTTTATTATTATAGTATTAGTAGTAGTAGCAGTAGTAGCAGTAGTGGTAGTTGTAGTTGTGGTAGTTATTATTATTAATTTTATTATCTTTATTATTATAGTATTAGTAGTAGTAGCAGTAGTGGTAGTTGTAGTAGTAGTGGTAGCAGCAGCAGCAGTATTAGTAGTAGTAGTAGTGGTAATAGTAGTGGTATTTATTATATTAATATTATTATCATTATTATAAATCTTTTTGTTGTTTATTAAGCGTCATATAATTAAGCAATAGCAATGCTAAAACCATCATTTATGCGTCTGTCGTTGTAATTATCATTATTATTATTATTATTATTATTATTTATTATTTCTATTTATTATTATTTTTGTTCATTATTATTATTATTGTTATTATTTATTATTTCTATTCATTATTATTATTATTGTTTTTGTTGTTTTTATTATTACTATTGTTCTCTTATTATTAATTTTTTTGTTGTTCATAACATTCATGTTTTGACGTTTCGCTTGGAAGATTAGTTTTTTTGTAGTAGTCGTAGTAGTTGCGTCGTTGTCGCAGTAGTAGTATTAGTAGCTGCAGCATCTGTAGTGGCAGTAGTAGTGAGGTAGTAGTAACATACATACATACATACAAAAATACAAACAAACCTATATACAAACATACATACAAAATTACAAAGTGTTTGTTTTCACCGCTGAAATACAGCCGATAAATCAATTCGAATAGGGAGAGATAAGATATTTACATTGTATGCAAAAATACAAAAGGTATTTTTGTATGTTTGTATGTTTGCTTGTCTGTTTTTACGTCTGTCTGTTTTTATGTATGTATGTATGTATGTTAGTAAGTTTGTTCGTATGTTTGCGTGTATGCACTTGTTTAATTATGTGAATATGTGATGAATGTGCGTGTAGGTATATAAGTATGTGTATATACAAAGAGAAAGAGAGAGAGAGAGAGAGAGAGAGAGAGAGAGAGAGAGAAAATTGACAGATCGTGTAGGAACTTTTTTAAATGAAAAATTTTATTGTAAATTTCAAATGAACGAAAGATAGCAAAGTGAATGAAGGAACGATTAAACGAACGAACGGGTAAATGAATGAAAAAAAGAAAGAGAGAAAGAATGAAGGAAAAAGAGAATAAAAGGATGAAATAAATGGAGTGACTATTGGATGGATATGTGGTCGGTTGGGAGAGTATATATTGATGAGAGGATGGGAAGAATACGAAAAGAAGTATGAGTGTGATAAAGAGAGAGAGAGAGAAAGAGAGAGAAAGAGAGAGAGAGAGCAAGAGAGAGGGAGAGAGAGAGCGAGAGAAGAGAGGATAGTGAATGATGAATGAATGAAAAAATTAAAGTAAAAAAAATAAAAAATTTTTAAAACTGCCGGCAATGTAAGAGAAAGAAAGAAAGAGAGAAAAAAAAGAGGTAGAGAAACGCAAATAAAAAGGGGTAAAATTTGTTAAGTCAATTTCAAGTTTGTGTGTCTGTCCGTCCGTCTGT